CATCTACCTCTCCCTACAAAAAGAAGTTAAAAAAAGTATATTAGAGTAAAGGTTAAGATAAGATATGAATGCTAGTAGCCTAGTATGCAGTATCAACTGTTACCAGCTTTACTAGAATAGCAAACCTGAACCTACAGAACTTCCTTACATTCAGAAGAGACTTCTCAAATAAGATAGTTAATTCGTTTTACCAATTGATCAGCTTAAAATCAGGTTTCTGATTTTTTTATAAGAAATTCACTATCGTTAACTAGATTTGACTAGTACTAATTCAATCAGTGTAAAGTTGTACTTGAGTATTTAGACACAGTAGCTCGCCAGAACAAAATAATCCCCCCCCCAAAAAAAAGTGCTAAGGTGTTTTTAGAATGATAAGAAATAAGTGTTACAAACTCCACTAAGTGCGCCTTGATTAGAAATACTCAAATCCTATGTTGGAGAAAAGCAAAAAAGCAGAACAACAAATAAATGAATAAAATCACATAAACAGATAATAACATCATTCTTAGAACTTGTAACAGAAATGACAGCATAACCATTTCCAATGGTGGTGTCGCAACAATGACATGCAAATGAAGTATCACCTGTCATTTTGAATGGCTGATAAAATCTGATTTTGAGATTGAGGGAGAAGTTTGGATAGGATAGCAGCATAAAAGAAGCCCAAAAATGAAACTGAACCAAGTACGAGAAGGATCCAACCCCAACATAAGCTTGCCTTTGAGCTAAAGGACTGTGATGAAGCTGACACACCCAACTTGTCAGACTCCTCCATAACCTTGAGAAAGAGAAAGAAACTCATTCAAGTATATCTTCTCATCTTAGTTCCTTGAACACTCATAGATCTGTTAACCAGGTCAATAAAGTGGTGCTGACTTATAGTATCTGATGCACCTTGACTGGAGATGAGTAGGTCATTCATGCCACAAGGTGGACTTTGCATGAACTCTGCATGGCATAGAATTTAAATTTAAAGAAGAAAAGCAGGGGAATTCGTTGCTTTTCAGCAAATAAGATCTTAATCAAGAATCAACTGTTAAAATATAGCAGACAAAACAATAAATTTCCTTCAGCTCTGGGTCAAATTTGAAAGTGTAAAATAAGAGAGGGCATTTCTTAGTCTTAAAATTAATGCAGACAATTCTAAACAACTAAAGGCATCAATATGACTTTAATCGCACATTCACACTATTTAACTTAACTCAGAAAGCAGTGCAACAAAAATTAGAGGTGGGTGCAGAATGGCATATCCGCCCACAAGCCACATGTACAGGCGTATATTTATAGATTGTTAACTAAGCATGTCATAAATGATGTACCGGATTGCCTTTAAGTTGTAAACTTGGGAACTGAAGATTTGGAAGTGTCAGTTTTAAAATTCCAATATCATTTTTTTGGGTTTTTATGAATACACATATCAAAATTTTAAATAATAAAAGACTAACAACAGAGGCAATACTACCAAGAAAGCAGAACATATGCTTCAAATGAAGGACCAATAATCTGAAACTGAATAAAATTTACCTTTTCACTTTGAAGGCACACCACTCAAGGTTCTTCACCTTTAAAAGCACATAAGAAAACCTCGTTCCCTTCTCCTTTCAGTCGACCCTGCAGCCATGGGAGATCTGAATATGTAGTGACATACTCAATTACTTAACAAAGATATCCATAAATGCAGAGAGTAAAGAGAAAAGTAAGCAAAAGGTTCTACACTGCTTTTCTTTTCCATCAGAGCTAAGTGAAGTGGAAGAATTAAAGTTTCCCCTCCCATGAGTTTTAATGGTTTCTCCTCACACAGCCGCTAGCCGAAGACAAGAGAAATGAAGGCTTTACGCCTTTACCTCAATTATAACTTGGCGAAAAGAAAAGCAGAAAACAAGAATCTTGTGCCAGCTTTAAATTTCTTTTCTAGTGGCATTCAAATATCTGAAACCCAGGGTTTTGGCACAGAAATTTTTAAAAAAGAAAAATTATGCACAAAATTCAGAAAGAAAAAATGAACGATTTTTCTTACTTTTTTCCCTCAAAGCAGAAGCTCAAATAACCGTCAGGCAAAGCATACCTGAATGAATGAGATTCCTTCTTCTTCTTCTCTTGCAGTTGCAGGAAGACAGGAAATGGACTTGGTGTTTTGGATCGGACCGCTAACCAGAACGAGGTGACCGGATCTGAGAACGGTTGGATCGCTAGACAAGCTAGCGAAATCAACTCGTTCCAAGGTACACGTGCAACACATTTCAGGTGCGAGCTGAGTTCGAGGTGAAATCCGCTACATTCGTTGGCGTACCCTTGGGCTGTAACTGTGAAATAACGGCCTTGATGTTATTTCGAATTCGGATTAGCTGAACGATTTACCTGTATAGCGGACTGTAACCAATGATGATATTCGACGCCGGTAAATAAATTTATGCCGGTAATAAACCTTTATCATTGGTTCCACAGCAGAATGCTTCGGTTTTAGCACAAGGCTATGCCAACGGGTGCAGTGGGCAAATTTCTTAAATTATTCTTAAGATTTAGTTAATTAAGTACATCTTTACTGTTTGACTATTGTCTAATGCTATCCCTATTGTTTGACAATTGATTAACTCTACTCTTACCATTGGGATCCATTAATATTTCATCACATATGATAATATTATTTTTTTGAAAAATCCAATTTTACCCTCATTTCTGTCATTCCCCTTCTTTTTCTTCTTCTTCTCCTCCTTCACCATCTTCTTTGAGAGACCCACTGGCACCTACTGCCAATCTGCCGAAAAAAACCCAGAAGCTCTGCTCTGTGGTGAAGAGAAAATGATGATTAACCCTCTTAATAACATAAAGAAAATTTTGTTTACCTTTGCGATTTTGTTAAGAAAATGCAAAAGGATCATCTCCACCAGAATAAATTTCAGAACCATTTCTTCAACTTTGGCTATCAGAATCTTCAAGTACTTTCGGAAGCTTTTCTGAGAAGAACTCATTGTTTTACTCCTTAGATTTGAACGCGAGTCAGGTTAACTGATCTACCAGCTTCAAGGGAGGTGGAAAGGGAGAACAAAGAGGGGAAGGGGGTGAAGGAAGAAGAAGATCTGGGAGTTGCAGATCTAGACATTCTTCAGGAAGCAACAGTTCCAGTGAGTTCTTTCACTGCTCTTCTCAGACTTATAGCTGGCGGCGCACTGTTTTGGTAACAGTGGTTTCTCGAGTGGCAACACCATGTTCGTTCTTGATGGTAACAGAGGTTTCTCGAGTTTTTCCACCAGGGTCGCACTATTTTGGTGTGACCTTGATTTCACGATTTTCGGATCTGGCATCGCACATTTTTCTCATCCCATCCCTCTATTTTCCTCAAAACAAATAAGAGAAAAAGGAATATTTTTGGAATATTCCCTTTTTCTCATCCCCATCCCACAAACCAAACGGAGCCTAAGGGTAGTTTAAGAAATTTACCCTTTTTCTTTACTGAGTTGAGGAGACTCCTTTCTCTTGTTAGCTCCCTTTAGACCTTATTTGATTTCACTTCTAAAAAGTAATTTTAAGAGCTGCAACCACACATTAAGGCTACATTTTGAAGCGATGTAAATCAAGAACCGATTTAAAATTTACATCAATTTGGTTTTGTAGGCATTTGGAAGGAGCGTGTAATTATGATCGACATAAAACTCTACTCCGGTTTAGATTTGTTGGCATTTGCATGGAGTGGAGTTTTACATCGTGAATCGATGTAAAACCTCATCAAGCATATCGATGTAAAACTTTACACTTTTTTATCACGGTTTTCAAAATGTAACAGTCATCTATATATGCGATTCAAAATAAAATGTCACCAGTGTATTTACACCGGATCCAAATGAAGCCTAAGTGGTTATTAAGTGCTTATATGTGTTTGGTAAAAAAGTGACGAAGTACTTTTTTTAAAGAAACACTTCTTAAAAAAGTGACCCTAAGGTTGTTTTATTTCAGCACTTCTTAGAAAGTGCTTCTCCCAATCGAATGGGATGAACCAGTCTCTGTTAATTTTTTAATTCCCAAAATACCCCCATGTGAGGGTTTTCTTCCCTCTCCTTCCATTCGAACACAACAAACTAGGGAGTGACACCTTCAATTGTAGGTCCATCGGCAATGATTGATGAAGAGGAAAAACGGCAAGCAGACTTGTCATTTTGCCTTTTTCTATCTATGAAGTTTTTCTTCAATTTAAAGCTATTTTCTTGTTTTTTTAAGTCTAAAACTCCTCTCTTCTTTGTGTTCGCAGATTTGCTTTTTGGCAAGTTTAACAGCAACAATCCCATCGTCCAAGTGCCAACAACAAAAAGGTTAGTTCGCCCAAACTCCTCATCTCCATGTTTGGTGTTCATTTTTGTTTTTTTTTGGATGATTATTTGTCTGATTCAATTTTTTTTTGGTTTCATATGAGGAATCCGAATTTTTTTGCTTGTTTTTTTTTTGCATTGTCTATGAATTTGCTCCTATGCATAAGTAGGATTTTTGGGCGGTTTTTGTTAAAAATCATGCAAAAAATTTACTAAAGTTGGATGAATATTTGGTGATGTTAAATTCACATTGCATTTTGATGTGTGAATATTTGTGATGTTTTATTTATTAAATTCTGATTAATATTTCGTTAGATGTTTATATGAATATTTGATTTTTTTTTCAAAATTGTGATTGCATTTTTTCATGAATTTTTATATGAATATTTGTTAAATTCAAATTGCAATTTTTATTTGTTAAATGTAATAGTGAAGCTTTGTTAGTAAATATTATTTGGTGTTGTTAAATTCACATTGCATTTTTTCATGAATTTTTGTTGGTGATGTTTTTAATATTTTTTGAATGACCCAAATTTTCATTTTTTTGAATAATCCAAATTTAGTTATCCTATTTTTATTTAATAAAATATTGGTGGTGTTTTTTTCTTGAATAATCCAAATTCAATTATTACATTCTTATTAATTTGTATAATAAATTTTATCCTATTTTATGTTTTTTTGAATAATCTGAATTTTCATTTGTTAGTAAATATTATTTGGTGATGTTAAATTCATGTTGCATTTTTTTCATGAATTTTTGTTGGTGATATTTTTAATCTTTTTTTTGAATGACCCAAAATTTCATTTTTTTTGAATAATTTTGTCATCCTATTTTATTTTTTAAATTTGGTATTGGTGGTGTTTTGTTTTATTTTCTAGAATAATCTGAATTTCCAATTATTGATTTATACGTATAGTTAATATAATACACATTTGATGTGATTACACTTGGTGTGTTGTACATGTCCAAGTGAGATGCATTTTTACAAACATTCACACTTTTTTTGTGAAAACTACTCTTTAAAAATACTTTATAGAAGCATTTTGTGAAAATTGTGCCTTAAAAGCACTTTCTAGAAGTATTTTGTGAAAATTGTGCTTTAAAAGTACTTTCTAGAAGTAGTTTATGAAAATTACTCCTTAAAAGCACTTTATGGAAGTATTTTGTGAAAATTATGTCTTAAAAGCACTTTCTAGAAGTATTTTCTGAAAATTGCACCTTGAAAGTGCTTTCTAGAAGTAATTTGTGAAAACTGGTCTTTAAAAGCACTTTTTGAAAGTATTTTGTGAAAACTATGCCTTAAAAGCACTTTTTAGAAGTATGTTGTGAAAACTACGCCTTGAAAGTGTTTTTTGAAAGTAGTTTGTAAAAACTGATCCTTAAAAACACTTTCTAGAAGTACTTTGTGAAAAATTGAAAGTGCTTTCTAGAAGCATTTCTTATTTCTTATTATTATTATTATGATTGTTGTTGTTGTTGTTGTTATCCATGTAGAACTCCATGTGTAGGCCCATGTAGGCTCTCACGTGTTATGATGTGGTGATGTGGTGATTTTTCATTGAAATGTATATTATAATTATATGAAAAGCACTGTTTATATGCATGAAGGAAATGAGAGCTAAAAGTATCATTTATGGGAAAGTAGCTCACCAAACATCCCCACCCAATAAGTGCTTAAAAAACACTAAATGATTGGCAAGTGTGGGTCACTCCGCATAAATCTTGACATCGCTCCAGCGAAGTTGATAGAGCTCTAATCGTTTATCCCTAGGGAACTGAATTTTTTCTGTCCCATCCAATTAGAGCTGAGCATACCGCTCTCCCCTCTTTCTTTCGAAAATGACGGAGTCCAGGCTGTTAACTACAGTCCGGACTTCAAAAATTGATAAAAAATGATTAACCCGCTTCTTTTTCATTCTCTCTCTCCCTTTTCCTACCCTCCCTCCTAAGTAGACTTGTTCATGGGCCGTGTGGCCCGACAGGCCGACCCAGCCCGGCTCGGGCCCCAGACGGGCTTGAACATACATTTGAGCCCGCGAGCCAAAAAGCCCAGCCCACAATAAATTTGAGTCGGGCTCGAGATTTGCCAAAATAGCCTGGCCCGAGCCCAGCTTGGCCCAACCTATAGGTTAAACCCAAAAACCCTAATATCTTAAGTAACCCCTCTTCCTCATTCATCTCTTTCGAATTAGTCGAACTGTCGAACCTCTCTTCTCTTCATAGTGACTCACATCACATCCTCACACTCTTAGGCAGCCATAGAACCGACAAACACTCACCGGCGCAACCAGTAAACTCCGACAAACCAGCAGTGAGTCTTCTCTCTCTCTCTCTCTCTCTCTCTCACACACACACACACACAAACGCGAACTGACTTCACTTTTCATTGTCAAAATCTCAGCTCACCGGTGAACACGGTCACCAGCGGTGAGTCCTCTGTTAGGTTGGGCTTCTGGCTTGGGCCCAAGTTGTAAGCCCGTTGGTCAGGTCGGGCTCGGGCTTGGACTCGGGCCTAACAAAATCCTGTTTATGAAGAGTAAAAACCCGGCCCAAGCCCGGCCCGGCCCGGCCTGGCCCAGCCCATGAACAGGTCTACTCCTGAGCCTCACCGCCTCTTCACATCACCAACACACAGATTGAGTCTCACCGCTGCAACCCTCGTGAATTAATGGAAATGGATTTGAGGCTCATGGGTTTTGACAATCCTTTGTTTTCGGTGCTCCAGCACATTCTCGATGTCTCCAATGAAGTTGAGAAGTCGTTTAACGCTCTTGCACGCACTTATGTTTGAGACGCTAAGACTATGGCTTCTACTTTGGCAAACGTAAAGGAATATCCCAACTCGTATACTTAAGTTCGGTGACATCACATTTAGGTTGAGGACGATAATGTGCTCTTCATCAACGGCTGGGGAACGCAAAAGGGAAAAGGAGAACGAAGGAGCCAAGTATATTAGGAGAGGAGGGTCGACAAGTTCATGAGGAAATTTGTGCTCCTAGAAAATGCCAACACCGGTGCCATTTCTGTTGTCTCTCAAGACAACATGTTTAGAAGCCCGAGACCATTGAGGTCAAGATCACTGAAGTGAAGAACGAAGG